TTCTAATCTTTAGCTTGCTACTTTCGTTGAATTACAAGCACAGAGAGTTTTCAGGTCATAGCTCGATAGATTAGAAGGTTAAAAATTAGAACAAGAGTTATGGCAAAAGATTTTTTCAACAATATTCTGCACTTCTAGCTCTCCTTTCCCTTCAATTCATGATTGAATACAAATGTGTAAATAATGATTGAACGTAAATAGACTTTTGCATTATATTTACCTTCCGTTTTTTAATTTTTGTTTTTTGGCATTTAGGTGCACCTTTTCACAAATGACAAACATTAGGATGCATTACCATGTAGCACGTTTTCAATGTGAAGCACTCCATGATGGTCACGAACTCGTCCTTTGTGAGGCAGCTTGACTCCACCTGCGTCCGCCCATCTGCTATGTCCTCTTGGAGAAGCGTAGTAGTAGCATGGAACTGACTTAAAATTTTAAAAAAATTTCATTAACGTTGAATATTATAAGATTTGCAAAAAGCCTGCCTTGCACATATCTTCTCTGCAGTTTATCAAACACTACTATGGTCATTACCGAATATTACCGAATATTACCTTCTATCACCTTGTTTGTCCTAACATTCCTAGTTTGACAAGAGCCTCACTAGAAACCAAACAAAACAAAATAGTTGTCATCAACTCTAGGCCTTAGTCCATTTTGAGATATTTTTAACACCAAAAAAGGAAAGCCCCAATATAGTTTAAGATTATGAAAGCTAACTCTGAGACTAACCCTAAGTGCCTCTTGATCTTCTGAGATCTATAAATTCTTCTTTTCTACGAACATCTTTTCAGAAAACCTAGTACATCTTCCCTTCTCTTACAAGTCTCAAATTTAAGCTATGGTCAAATTAAACAACGGTCTTTGTTTTCCCTCTTTCCATTACTCCACGATCCCAGAAATAATGCTATTAACTCACCAATGAGCTTCCATTCACAGCAAACAATTTTTTTGGCATTGACTGTCGAGGAAAAACTGGGGGTGAGTCACGAATCAGCACGTAAGCTGAAGAAGAAGCCATTCCTACTTCATTGCTTATAACACATTGATAAACTCCGGAGTCAGATACTGTAGTAGAGTTCACTGTCAAGCTGAAAAAAAAGTTTTATGAATTTTTTTTAGCGCAAAGAGCAATTCTTAAATGGAATATGTCGCACATGTTTT